TCGTGATCAGTTTCGTCCTTCATGCACTTCATTTCCGGCGAGGACATCTTTTTATTTTACGTCATCGTAGTCGGTGAAACAATCAGCTGAACATTGGAAGGTCTTCGAAATTTGTATTCAGACGCATTTCTGGTGGGAATCTCGTTTATCTGATGCAGATAGCGTCGTCCGCACTTCTGAAGATGGAGGTCAAGCAAAGGCTCTGTTGGATAAAATCACCACCGTCTTACCACCTTTGAGCTTGCGCCTTTTGCCTACTAATTGAAAAGTCGTGTTTCAGAAATTTCGGTCTCTGAGCATATCCTTTATATTTCAAGGAGAAGAACTGAATGTCCCGGAGAATTTCACCTAACATTCGCGTAGTTTTACCTTACTCTGATGATAGTGTTTTTGATGGAGTCAGTGCAGAAATATCGAAAGTCCGAATCATGTTTGCTAAGTTGCATCACGTGTGGAGTCAAAAATGCACATCACTGGGTCTTCCGTGTGAACCAGACTATAGTAAGTGCTGTATTGTCGTATGGTTGCGAGAAACATAGCCTCTCCGGACAGGTGGCGTGAAGCGTCTACGGGTTTTAGATCACCGATGCCTCAGAAGCTTTTCTGATGTCGGACAGCGTCAACGAAGTCTTCATGGGATAGCTAGAAAACGGGTGTTTGATTGTGCACCGGGTACCTCAGTCACGGAACAGATCCAGTGCCATCAGCTGTGGTGACTTGGCCATGTGTTACGCATGCCGAAATATCGTCTACCGAGACGTGTTGTTCCCCCCACTTACAGAATGACGTAAACTGAGGTTGACAGCGTGTGACTTGACAGAAGAGTGTGCCTTCCAGTATGTGGTTCGTGACTCCCTGCACTGGCTTTGAGGTATTTAAAGAAACGGCGGCTAATCAGGCGCAGCTGAGTCCCTGTTGTCATGTTCTCCGTATTGCTTGAGCGCTGATAGGAACTTCACAGTACTTCTGATAGACCAGCACCAGGTCCGCTCACTCACCCTTTTTCTATTTTTCCACTTTAACCCTATAACTAAGGTTTTCCGTTTACGGCAGTAAAGCATCAGTGTCAACGGTGATGTCGTCTCTGATGATGATGGGAACGACCCAAATGGTTCTGGTTGAAGTGGGCCTCTCTTGAGGGGACGACTTCTCTCGGTCACACCAGCGAGTAGTGGTGTACATATAGGAACTTGTGAGGATAATAGAGATATCTGAAGCTGTCTATGACTGTGTTAAAACGATGGAATATAATAAACTTTTGATAGATGTAGCATCCTCGAACTATGTTCTAGTTCAAGGTGCTGTGCTATGACGGTATCCAGAGGCTACAGCTCCGGCGAAATATTTTCCGTCCCCCTCTGAAGAGAACAAGCGTCAAAAGACCATCTTTCAACTTAAAAGATGTACTTCAGCAGTCATCACCGACGTAAACACGACATCATTGTTCAACACGAATTCTTCGCTGCTGTGACATCAGTAGTTACCTCGTTCGAAGAAAAGACCAGTTTGAAGAAGAGACCGCTTTCACTGGATCTTTCGAACTGTCCTCCCAACCATGCCTTCATAAAGAGACGGAATTTTAAAAGCGACAATCCCAAAGGTCTTCCTGGAGAACAAAGGGAGTAGTAAAGCAGTGGCATCAATGAAGACTACCTGCAGTGACCCTAGGGTGATCTCTTTCCATAATCGGTCTCGTTATGGAGGGACCCAACCAGTTCACATATATCATTAAGTAGTATTATTTAAAAGGTGCTGTTTGCGGAGGGATGGGTTGTGGTAGTTGTGTGCCGTACGAGTTAAAATCACGTGGCATTCCGCACAAGTTCAGGGGATCATACAAGCTTCGCGTCTTCATCTTTTTAATAACATTATTTTGCCTGTTACCTCAGTGTTTGTTGTCAGGGCGTCAATTTTAGGGTCAATCTCATGAAACCAACCAGTTACATATATCATTAAGTAGTATTATTTAAAAGGTGCTGTTTGCGGAGGGATGGGTTGTGGTAGTTGTGTGCCGTACGAGTTAAAATCACGTGGCATTCCGCACAAGTTCAGGGGATCATACAAGCTTCGCGTCTTCATCTTTTTAATAACATTATTTTGCCTGTTACCTCAGTGTTTGTTGTCAGGGCGTCAATTTTAGGGTCAATCTCATGAAACTGAAGTGAGGTGGTCCTTATTGGGGGGGGGGACACGGAAGAAGCTCTCTTGAATGAACTACCTTGTGTTTGTTATCGTGAACATGTATGACTACTTGACCACCCGTTTTGTTTGCCAGTATACCAATCCGAGATGTTCAAAATAGAGCGTTTTGCATTATTGTGCAAGACATTGTTTGTATGCATCTTCGCTTACCGCATTGGACTTGTGGACCGTAAATCTTAAGTCTGTGTGAACGAACTTCGGTTGCCTAGGTGGATTTATTGCCTCTAGCAAAACACATCATTCGTCACTAGTCGTATTAGTGTATGTAGGCGTTTTGTACGTGATGAGTACAGGTTTTTGTCCAGAATGTGTCCTCATGATTGCACGGTGTACCGATATGATAGAGACAAGTCAACAACAGCTGTCCTAATTGGTGTTGCCTCAGCAACACCATACCAGCAGTGGCTGACAATAAATGATGCTCCTCGCTTCTATTACCGTAATGGATTCAGCCAGTTCATTGGCTATAAGCTATGCACGTTGGTCCCAGCTGCTACGGTTTCGTTCACCGAAAAATGGGAAGGCATGGGAAATGTAGCCAAACTTTGGAGCCGGTGGAACGTTCACTTAGTTCGGGAAATTGGACATCTACTCATTGAAGACGATAGATTTAATACAGGAGCACCAGTGACTGTGCCACTGCCCCTTGTCTGTCAGTATCATTAATCATCGACTATGCACGTCCCAGCTGCTACGGTTTCGTTCACCGAAAAATGGGAAGGCATGGGAAATGTAGCCAAACTTTGGAGCCGGTGGAACGTTCACTTAGTTCGGGAAATTGGACATCTACTCATTGAAGACGATAGATTTAATACAGGAGCACCAGTGACTGTGCCACTGCCCCTTGTCTGTCAGTATCATTAATCATCGACCAGTTGAGTTCCTCATTCAAAAAACGGTAGTCACTTCAACTGAAGTTACTGGTTAGCGTTTTTATACCTCATTTGCAAGTCATAAACTGGTCTGGGAGCCCACATACAAGAGGTCCCTAATGCTTTCTTTGCATTTTCAAACCACCGTATATGTTACAACACAGATATAGCTCTATTTTGGTCTTTCTACATCACACCTGTCTTGTAGCATCATGAAACTTTTTCATCGGCTCTTAGTTGCATAGACTTATGCGAGAGTTGCCGGCTATAGGAGACCATAAATTTACTCGTGTTGACAGCTTTTAAAACTACCAGTGTCGAGTGCTGCAAGGCATCCGGCGATTCAAGGCGATATAAGAAGGAGCAGGATGCTGGATGTGGTCAACGACCGGTACTTCACTGCCACGTCGCGCACATGATTACGTCAGATGGACAAGTTCATAAAAGTGCTCACTATGAAGGAACATTGTTTTAAACATCGAAGCGCCCAGTTGCACTTCAGGCAAGCAGTGAGTAGTACGACAAAAATGATTGCAGCTGGAGGTGGTCTTTCCAGGATTTCGAATTTCAGCAGGATTTCCAATAATAAACTGAAGATAGTCTTTTCTGAAAAGTAGCTTGTCCGGAGACAGACAGTCATGTGTGTATATATTTATAGTTCAACCCACTAAATCCAGTATGTGAACAAAAATACTGTTATTACGATTCAGATTAACAGAGGTATTGGAGAATCGGTGCATTAACCTGGCCGTCCGGATTCGCAACTAATCAACGATTCTGATTGCTGCAACCTAATACCATAACTTCCTAATCATTGTTTCGCTATAGAAGTTATATTCTACCTGAGGTAAATTGTAATTGACTGGGTTACAGCTTTCATTGGTTTATCTGACTTCTTGGCATCTTGAAGTCGGCTGAATCCTAATTCTTTTGGGCGCTAGATGTCGATTGTGTCAATTTGGTCTAATTGCATTGTTTGAACAGATACAACGCCCAACCCGCCTAAAATCCTCCTCGTAAGTGGAATATGTCGGTCCGCACCTACCCTCCCGGAATTCTCCACTATCAGGAAAGGCGTGTCCATTTTGTGGCTTGAAAAATGGAGTTCGATGGATGCGTGCAATTCATTCTGTCGATGGCATCGGATTTCCCTGTGCTATTCCCGGCACACGAAGAATGTGGTTTTCTCCCACCCATCTGCCACATGTCACTCTGATATTTGCGTATCTGAGCAAAATACCGTCAAGCCATGTCTCGTGGTTGTCAATGGGTTATGCGAATATATGGTTATTTAGGTGTGTCCTGAGCTAAACTCAATGCACCCTGGATAGGCTACTAGCGAAGACTCGTCGTTGAGGCATCTTTTGATCACCGAACTGCGAATTCTCGTTACAAGACTGAATGACTGTGTCATACGCTTTGTTCATAGGAATCAGAGAACCGCTTGAGTTGGTTAACTGATTCATATATTTACGGAGCAGAATGCATAGTAGTACTCACGCCGTTTCCCAACTGACAGCCGATTTGTCGAAAATGAAAACATCATTTTCAGCATTACGGCAGCTTTGCAGAGGATTTGTACTTTGCACGAAGCTTTAAGGCTTGTTCCCACATACTTGCGTTTATACACCGTGCCAGCTTACGCAAAGTATTCACCGGCCCGACCAGCAGAGGTGACAACGCAGAAATGAGCGGCATCAAACAGAACGCTGATAACATTTATAGTTTTCGGAAATTTAGATGCTACAAAATCGATCACTGTTGACTAAGGGAGTGCTTTCAACACTGTAGGCGTGTTACTGAATTTCCCATGTTATACTCAAGTTATCAGTATTACAAAAAAGATCGTTGAGGAGAAACTAACGATCGGGACCAACGTACATTTTATCGAGTTCATCATAACACTGTCTAATTCACCCTTTCAGGCTATGCTGCAATCGTGACACAAAATGGATGAACTTGAAGCGGTGAAAGCAAAGCAACATTCTTTGCGTGAACGTCTTGCAGCGCGTCGTCAAGAGCGGCAAAATCTTTTGGCTAAAGTTGGATCTAGCACTCGCCCACAACTCCCTTCAACTACTAGCCTACTTCCTACCGCCGCTACATCAGGCTTGTTACAACCTGCAGCAAGGTTTCTACTGCATCGCGTACCGAAACCGGCACCTGACACACAAAATGTAGCTCAAGCTACTCCAGAAAAAGAAGTGAAGGTTCCACAAGAAGTGATCTCTGTGGTACCGACCGCTAGCCTAGCTGCGCTGACATCGGACACAGTGCATTCCTATAAAGACTCCTCAAAGACACCAACCGGTATTTCAAGTAAGGACACACGCGGTTTTTTTATAACTTTCCGTAAAAAAAATTCGTGCTTTCCATCGTACTTAAACCGTTTTTCCTCATGTTGCTTGAGTTATCGTTTTTTTGTCACAATTGTGTTGCAACGTGGTCAGCAAGTTTTCAGAGAGCTTTTTACCGGGGTTGCGGTGTACGAAATCTACTCGCATCTTTGGCACCAGTGAGTAGGACCGTTCTTTCGGTAGGCTATTTCACACGGATTAACTGAGCTAACACTAATTCAGGAGCACAGTGTTATGTTGTACACAGAGACATTGGACCTTACGGTGATGTGACGGTTTGTGTGCCTCCGTGACCCGTTGAGCTATACTCCCAAAGTTTCTCATACCAGGTTGGTCAATGGTTAGAGGTCTGACCAACACAGTCTCCTGGCCCTCTAGACTGGGAGTTGGGACATGTTGGGCGACGCGTTCGATAAGAATGGTAACGTACTTACAATTCTCGCCAAAAACCGCTGCCTTGCGGTTCGGCTTTTGAGCCAAAGGCTTTGGTTTAGGACCCTAGTTGCCCTGACAACATTTATAACTACAACTAAAAATTATCTCATGCCACATCGGCCACTACCACCATCACACCATATCCGCGTGGTGTCACCAGCCAGGTCGCCTTACTTGCTGAGTACAGCAGAGCGGGGAAGCGAAATTTACTACTACTGCTGACGCGTCCCTTCTTACTTTTCGCGTATTCCGTCTTCTACCCGACCCACCTTAATTTGAATACTTTCTCCACGGGTCCCAGCACTACGGCTGACCGCATTCACCGTTCATCGCACTCAGCTGCAACGTCTGTACGTCCGACTTCAGTGACAACCCTGAACACTTCAAAGTCTGTTTCCAAACCTGGAAAGCCGATGTACTTACCTGTTTTCAATGTTCGCACACTCAAGCAAGCAGGACAACAAGCGGCTCTTGCTCCTCCACCGGGTTACTACTGTATTGATGTACACTGTTTGTCATAAACAGGGATACAGGACGTAAGAACTGTGGTTGGACTAACCGCTCCCGCGCTCTCTGGTGATGCAGAAGCCAATGCAGCTGGATATGGTCGGATGGGTATTATAGTGGGGGACCAAATGGAAGCGTCTTTACTTGATTGGATATTGGTTGATAGTCACCTGTGTGCGGTTTTGTTTGTCTGTGTTTGTGAGAAAATCTCGAGGAAGTTAGGTCCTTGGCATCCTGTGTACTGTGTCTGCTTTACGCCCCAACTAACTGTAGCTCTGAATCTGTCAAAGGCTGAACGCTCTTTTACAACGGGCTAGAAGTTCGAACGTGGTGATTGTTGGTGACACCGAAGCCCAGCTATATGGACTAAGTGCTGATGAGCCCCAGGTGATCGTCTTGGTTGGACACGAGACAGCAGCGATCGCCTGCTGCAGACTACCGATCACAGAGTGCTCCTTCGCAGTACCGATTTCTGGAACAGAGGGAATCACAAGACGACTTGGTCGTTCAGCTGTTCAGCTGTAGCACCCTTTCGGTGCCTAACTGCCATGCCAACCGAAGGTTGCACAAGGGGTGGGATACTTCCAGGTTGCCCGTGCCTAGAAAGGGGAAGTCGAAAGGCAGAGGTCAGGTTCGAACCACGGACCTTCCGGTCAGTAAATTCGCGCTCTAACCACTTGGGCCATCTCGCTTGGTGTCCTGAGTCCAAATAGCCCACATGACCTTCAGTTGCCGTTGGTGAGAGTCACCTATTGCCTGTAGCTCCCTATGAAACAGCGGCTTTGACTCTGACCATGCACTTGTTTGCTACTACTTTGCGTTGCGATATTCAGGCCTAAGCAAAACGTGCGCACCCCGTTTAGCTAGTTAATGAACCCAGAAATCATAGTAAACGTTCAGAATCGGCTCTCCGAATATATTCTGGACGGTGCTGTCTCAGCTATTGACGGCCACTGGGAACAACTATTCACAGTGCTACTCAGAACTGGTACTTCTGTTTGCGGTAAAACTCAGCCAATCTCATCCAAACATTGGATCTCTGATAAAACTGTGACTTTGCTGAAGGCTTGATGACAGATTCTTGCCAGCCCAAATCACCATTCAACCCGACACATCATCCGATGTCAGGTAAAGCTGAGTGCCGGTGTAGACTGTGAAGCTTTGTGGACCTGGAATGCCGAAGAAATGGAAAAGCAAAACTGTGGATACATCGGGCTGGTCGTGGAACCTTTAACATTTGGGCGACTTGGGGTTGAACAGCAGTGCAGTTGGATCTCAATTGGGACATTGCGCCATTTATCCTTCATTCACAGAAGGCACTTCACGTGGCTACGTGTTGTGTGGCTCCTTGAGTGACTACTTCTTAGAAAAAGGCTTCACTTGTCGTGAGCAGTTATTGTTTCTCCGAGCCACTGTCCGTCTGTGAATGAATTTGTCTTAAATCCATATGTAGCCTTACACTCCGGTTCGGTGGCTCGAGCCATTGTCACTGTCAAATCAACTCCGTAACGTCTGACTGCAACGAGATCGTCCGTTCAGAAGGATGTCATTCTGTCCCACTTCACACAACGAATGTGGTTAGGTCTACCAGGCTAGAATACGTTTTCGCAATCTTTCGTGCGGATAATATTGATGTAATTGAAAATATCTTCGTAGAATATATTATCATCAACATAGCTTCTTAGGCCTCACTGCTGCTGGGCACCTGTGATCTAATTGCAGTGTTAAATAACTCCACACGCCAGATCCGAAGCTTTCGAACTTAGTATCAGTTGTTTACGTTTACATGTGGGAAACTCAGGGACCTTACGGATTCCCTTACTGACCTCTCTCTCTGCGGGATCCGTTTACTGTCTCGAATTCCACGTTTGTCGTATGGTTATTCTGATTTTTTCACCAGCCGGTTTTCACTTAGGAAACACAGAAACGTCATATCAAATGAATGCTCAGCTATTTTGGACCTCACGATGATATTTTCACCAACCGCAGTTTGACAAATGAAAACTCGGTTCAAAACCAACGGTCCTCAACTCGCCGTCGGATTAAAAAAATAGTGCACGTACTTTCCGCTAGCTTTTGATTTATTTTTCTAGACATTTTCAGTCGAAAGTCAGAAAGATAGTTGAGTAGTAAAGAGACTTCTGGATGAATGGTTCTCTCCCTGTGTTTAGTTTCGATCTTTTCACTGGCATTCTTATGGACCGTTCGTCCATCAACTTACAGCCCTTATTCCTTCGTTTTTGTTCATCCTCAGCTTCCACGGTCTCTGAAATCACACCAAGGTAAGCTTGGATTTATGCCCAAAGTTTTAAATTAACCGTTTGCATTTCCAGTATTGACCTGTACCTCCGTTAACGTGTTATTTGTGTGACACGTACCACGTTTGACACGGGCTTTCGAGAACACGAAACTGTCTTCTGTGTCTATTCGGACAGAGGTTTGTCACGCACACGTTCATTGGTTAACGACGGTGAGATAGGCTAGTCAGAGAATTGTCAAACATTGTTCACCAGATCTAATGCGTCTGTGAGGCTACTTGACTGGGTTAGGCGGATCGATCGGTCGACACAACGACGACCAGTTATTAAGTTGTCGTTCGAGGCGTCGGGCAACCCGATCACCTTATCGGACTTAAAACTCCAGACGCTCCAGCGTGCACTGATGAAGTAGTTATCCCTCAGATGTGCGTGTGGTGTTTAAAACACCGGCACGACCAAGGATGTGCACTGCTAATGAGCTCTAATAAAAGCGAAACTCGAGCCCAGTACTTCCCCTTTTGCTGTGGATTCACCTGAAGCATTTCGCCCGGATGACTGTTCAAACGAAAATGATGTGAGCGTGAATTCTACAACTTTCTTAACCACCTGCAACTAATAATAATAATAATAGTAATCGTTCAGCCGTCAATAGCTAGCGAACTTGAAATCCGAAAGAAGCACGTTTCCTTTCGAGTTTGGGGGTGTGTTTATTATGGGACGGATTGAAGAAAGACAAAATTTGCAACTGACTGCTTCGGTCAGATTTTAAGGTGGTCGACCCGGTTGGCGCTGTCAGTTGCTGTGACTTGGGTTTTGTTTGGGGTGGATTCAGCTTTGACTCTGTTGATTGTGAATTAGTCGTTAAGTATCGTTTTCGAAGAAGTTTGGTGACAATCGGTAGATTTATTGCTGGGCAACGTTTCGTTTTTGACACAAAAGCTTCGTCAGGCCAAGTGACTAGGTTCCGAGGTTGGTCGAGATTTAAGGCGGAGGGAGAACCAATCAGCTAAGTCAAGATAAATCTCCTTTGGGTGTCGCCCGAGGGATTCTCGTGTGTTAGGGTGGTTGAACAAGTGTTTGGTCGGTGGTGAAACCTACATGTGTTTGGGTCCAGTCTAGGGTCTAGTTCTTCTGGTTCGGTTCATTTGATGGTCCCTTTTGAGCGTCGTTTGAACCTTCTATCCGTGTGCGTGGATGAGCTAGTGCTAAGATAGTTGTGTAAGAAGGATGCTGTGACCTTTGGTCGGGTTAGGATTGACAACCACACCGTCAAGTGTCAATTCGGCTTATCTAAGACCGCTTTCCATACGCTCACCAGTTCCACACCCTCGATTCTATTCACGCTGTGATGCTTAGTAATTTCCACCGCCTGGGCTATCAGCCGCTGTGTCCCATGTCTAAGGCATGTACCGCCATCGCTGAGTCGTTAAGTACTATGCTCGGCAACCTATCCGGTGTTTATTGTCTACTACTCGCAGACACTTGTGATTAAACCACTGGATGAGTGACTGTTGTGTTTGTTTGAAAAAAAAACAATGGGTACGCATGCAGTCATCGTGAGTTCTTCAGCAATACCACGAAAAACATAAGGCCTACAAGGACAATTGATCCAGTGGTCATCGCATGCCATTTCAATCAGTAGAATAGCGTCATCAGCATTGTACGACCGTTGGGGGAATTGAGTTTTAGGGTGGAAGGTGGGTCACGGAAATTGATCTGAAGAGCTAGAAGAGGGGGCAGAGGTCACTGGATGTATGAGGGTGTAAACTATCAAGGGCTTGGACAGTATGGCATTGGTGGTAGGAAAGCTGGGTTGTAAGGCGGATATGTTGGATGGTAGAGTTGATGTGTTCGGAAGAGAATATGGGCGACTCGTTAATGTTGACGCTGAAGTCGCCCGGAATGTCATATTTCACACTTGGATAGAACTGAATTGTCGGTTAACAGTTGACACTTTCCAAATAGAAAATAGGGGACGTCATTCGGAGAACGATGAACGAAGTAAATATATTGTTTATCATGGAAGTCAAATTTAAATATAACTATTATTTGAAATTCGGGTTCTGCTTACACAAAAACAACTGAGGAGCAGGTAAGAAAGAATGTATACAAGCTCACACTCTACCTGTAAAGCAGAAACAATGTAACTGTACATAGTCCGGACTTTGTAGGCCAACGGGTTCAGAGGTTCAGGTGAGAGAAACCTGGAGATGAAGTGGAAGATAACCATTGGTGGCCCCAGTGTGTGTGTTGGAGTTGAATTCAAGGGTGTCGGGTGCCCCAGAATCCTTGAAACCACGTGAGGTAGCAGAATAGTGTAGTACCGCAGTATACCAGTGTATCAGGTTTGTGTTCTTAGTGAGGGACCGGAATCCAAATATCAGCGGCTTTGAGTGGCGAATCCAATAGCACTCCTAGACTCTGGTCAGTCAGTGGTACCTCGTAGGACGACTGTATGAGACGTCTTCCAGCATGCGGATTTTTTTGCCAATTCTGGGGAATCGTCTTGCACTCGAATAAAAACAGGCTGTTGTGCCACTGCATTTCCAGTGTTTGGAATTCACCCTCTGTTGTATCTTGCTGTGGCCGAGTTTTGGGGTTACGCCTACACTGCGCCTGCCAGGCTACGCGATAGGGACATGGCTGTATTGCCAGGACAAAACGTACAGAATGTCTGCGTAAATATATAGGATGACTAATAGGCCAAATATGCTCGTTCACTTGTTCGCTCCGTACAGCCAATGGTGGTGTTCCGGTCGTGAACATTCTCAGGCCCACTACGCTGGTCGTGTGTTGCTAAGCCGTTTGGTGAGAGACGTGTTTCGTGGGAGCCGCCAACTCACCTACCTTCCGGACGTGTCGAACCAATGGTGACCTTGGGGATGCGTCTCTCCGCACATGTACTTTTTCTTCTGTCTGGGCGCGCCCTGACACCCTCCCCCTCATCGAATTCTCTGTTCGCCGTTGCTTAATGTGTGGTACAGGTGTATGACCGTCACATTGATCTACATCAACACCTCTATCGTCGCAGTCCATTTGCGTAAAGGAATCCTCAGGTGGTTGCTGTTTCCCGGATTATGTTGTTCGAAGCACGGAAATGGCAGTTCAGTGAGAATCGTTGGTAATTGGTTTGAACTCCACACTGTTTCATGAACAGAGGTCTGCGGGTGCCAGAACTGCGTGGCCGAGGTCTTTGTCTGAGAGACAAATGGAATCTAAAGGCTGTTTGTCTTATCTAGTGAAAGAATACCGGTCTTAGGATAGCGAAATTCCCCATCCCAGAAGTTACGACTTCCGATTCCCTTGTTAGTCTACCACGAGTTTACTCCGGCTTTATAATCCCAAATTATTGACCTTTCAATGTAAGTCACGTCTGTCTTGACACCTTGTCGGCACTGGGCGTTTGTGGGTCTCTTTATACAGTCGAGTCAGAATACTTTTACCCTGGTGATACCACCGCTGCCTGGATTGATGCTTATGTGTCATAATAGTTGACTCATTCCCAGTTAACCTTGCTTACTTGCCGCCTGTACAAGGCTTGGAGTCATGCATGAAAGTATACGACTTCGATCCAGCCTGAATGCACTATATATCTGTCCCTAATTGACTGATTTCCTAAATCTTTTGCATGTCGCGTGTCATTTTAACCGCAGTGTCGTGATGGACAGTGTCATGTGTATTCACCTGCACCACTAGTCTTCCATCCTTTGGGGTCTTCTGTTCCCCGCTTGTTGGAACCCCAAAGAATCAAATCCGTGATTCTGTAGCGTGTGGATGCGAAATTGTAATCAACTACCTGGTCGTGCGTCGAAATTTTGGTAGACCGTATTGATCAGCTGACTGTTGCTTTGTCCCCCCACGAGGTTACCTCACAGGATAATTGCATTCCGTTAGCCTCCTTCAGGTCCGAACAAACATAACTCACAGGTTTGCGGCCCTACTGGTTTTCGCCTGGAATGGGCCATCTCTGAAATACTCTGCTGCAGTTAGACAACCGTTGTCTTGCTCCAGGATGTCATCGCATTGGTTTTATGCATTATGATAGCCACTGTGAAACCGATTGGCACACTCATTATCCTGTACATAATTAGCTTTAAGCTAGCGCCTGTAGGAAAACGGTTTGTATGACCGTCAGCGTAGCATACTGTACGCGAACTAATGGTGATGTCCTACTTAAATTCCAGGTTGCTTAAGACAGTAAGACAATTGGAGAGTGATACGACTGAGAATTTGTTCAGTGTCAGCTGGTCAGCCCGATATTTCGTTAGTTAATCTAACCGAGGCAACGGTTTGTGAACTCGATTCACAGCATGGCGTATTTCACAGTACCCTTCCACCTGTCGGATGCATTCTAATCGTTCGCGAATGGCTTATTAGCTGTGTAGGTTGGGCGGGTATTTAATCCCACTCTTTTCGTCCCTTTCTTGCGATTTCAGTTCCAGTTCTGCCACTCCGCCAGCGACCCACAACTTAAGTAAAACGTTATCCGCCTCAATTTTACAAGAATGTGAGCAACTTCAGTCTTCCGAGGCCCAGAAACGTCCACATGGCACTGAGTCACCATCGGAAGCATCGCAACCAGCACGAAAATCCCTCAAAGGTGGTACAACCGAGGTGAAAGAGGATAACCGAACGATTTCGACCACTTCAACACAACCGGCTCCCACTCCGAGGTCCGGGCGAGTAACCACATTGGACAACGAATTGGAAGATCTTTTGGCAGCACAGACCGCACGGGAGAAAGAGAACAAACGTGTGCGGGAAGAAATTCTCGAGCTTTTAAATACTCCTACCGCAAAAGTGAGCTATTCAGGTGATCACTGTATGATTTTTCTCGCTGGACGCTAATCTGTTTTGCCGTAACTTGCTATGAGTGGTATAATACTGTTCGAACTTTTATAAGATGTACATTTGGAAATGCCACGAACAAATTTCAGCGCTTGTCTCTCTTATTTGACTATAAGAAAATTTAGGCGCTTTGCGATGTTTGTGGTGGGCGAAAACTAACTATTACGCTCGTTTCCACTGTGTCGCGCTTCGTGCTGGGGTATTTATGTTAGTGCAGCACCAGCTGAGATTCAGCTGAGTCTCCCGTGAAAACCAAATTGATATGCAAGTGAGAGAATATTTGTCAGAATCGGTCCAATTGGGGTTCGAGTAGAACGGAAACTCGAGGACTGTACCTACCTGGTGAGAGAAAAGGGGAAGTTTTGTCGTTTGGAAATTCGCCTTAGTGAATCATTTCCAAAAAAAGAAAAGTTTCCTAGCGAATCTTCCAAAGTCAAGGTTTTTTAGGGAGGGGTAATATCCGAAGTGAACCAAATACGGCTTTACTGTGTGTTCCTCGTCACACAGTTATATTGTGATATCATCGTAACTTCGTATGCCAAACCACTTCCATAATTCATAAGCTGGACGCTAACGGCATGTCACCAGAAACAGTTACTTTTTGTTGTTTTGAACATTATTTATCCTTCTTTGTGGGGAACATGAGAATCCTGATTTAATCACGTGTTTTCTCGCTAATTTCTGGTTTCCAGACCTCATGCTGTTGACTTCCTATCCCGTTTCTGTTTTCAGGAGCGCTATCTCAGTGAACGTTTTCGGTCCCAGGGTGGTAAGTGCTGCTTATCTTTTGCGGGCCATCAAAACTGCTGAATTTTGTCGCTCGGGTACAATTAGCAACACTTTGTTCTACCTGAAGCTTGTAAGTAGTGTCACGCCAAAAAATTGCTGCGACCGCTGTAGTATGGTACCAACTGAAACGTGAGACCGCTTCTGTAGGGTGATTTCAGTTGAAAAATATCCTAAAAAAGATTGAGTTGCGTCTCCTGTTAAAACCGAGTCATTTTGCAAATGAGAGTGTTCCGCGAATCGTATTCTTTGTGCTGCCTCGAGGCAGCGAATTCATCGATCTGCTCACTTCGCTTTCTCCATTGTTCGTCCGTGATGAGGCTCGATTACCGAGTCAGGCCGGTTCGAGCATCCTTTATCTACTGTTTCTTGACTTCGCTTTTCGGATGGGCAGGAAGTTTGGCAACCGCTTTGTTTGACATAGCCACCAGCTATTTTATACACCTGTAGTTGTGGTCACACCTATCAGGGCGCTTTGACATCACTTACCCCATCTAGTTAACTGACATTGTCATCATCTGGTGCTTCAGGCTGTACCATGCTTCTATCTACGGTCTGAGTGGATTGAAGTTTGTCAGTGCACAAGTCTATCGGTAACAGAGTCTTGTCGGTTCTCGGATTCCATCGAAGTAGGATTTCAACTTCAAAGAAGAATTCGTCTTAGTAGTAGTTGGACCGTTTGCACGGACCACTCCCGCTTGTGTTTGCCTGTCACTCTGAGGCATAGTGGGCTGCTACCACGGGGTTCTGTATCGAACATCTTGGTGCGTTCGAAGAGGTTGGAGTTGGTACCACGACATCTTTTTTTTCTCCCGTCGGGTAGCCGATCCACTGTGTGTCCAGAACCATCCTCGTAAAAATACTTCTTTGGTCAGTCAGGCGTGTTTCGCTGAGGGCCGCAGTATCAGTTCCATATCTCTTCAGTTCCATTTCAGGATGGTCGAGCTGATCCAGCAGTGTTTGGAAGCTCCACGTTACAGCTGTTAACTATCTCCTGGAACAACATGGTCGCTCCCGATTTACCTTCAAGGGAGATTAGCCATAATGAGCTATCATACTACTCCCTCAAGAGACCGTTCTTTAGATTTGGCACACAGCCTTGGAGTCCTTAGTAGTAGGTTCTGTAGTAGTATTTTTTTGCCGTGGTCAGTTAATTCGGCTTCTGCCATGGTCGGCTAATCAAACCTTAGTATTGCTTGTTATTGGCCCTTCTCCCTCGAGGGGAAGGACGGTGGTGCGCGCCTACCAGATAGCAAACATGATTGTTTCGATCAAGTGTCACAGATGAGCTGCTACTGTGCTCAGCATCTGCTCGAGAAACCCACTGTGCATGATATTCCAGTCAGCTCTCATACCGGGACGCTGGTCATATTTAAGTGGCAAGAGAGACCCATCTACAGCCAGATTCGTGGATCAAAATGAACTGGCAATCTGACGGCAAATGTCATCGGATTTTGTCGTTGGAGACCAAATGCAGACAAAGGTTAAGGTTCGTACCGTTATCATGGAGAGCAAGATAGGCTATGTCAGCGGCTCTTACTGGAAATAGCTAGGTGGTGTGGTTGAGCATCCTACTTTGCAGAGCGCGGTTGTGCGCTTACACGCATCACCGGTCTGGGGGGGTTCTGGAGTACCTCAAGCCCTTAGGATATTTTCATAACTGTAATGACAGGCGAATATTCACGTTTCAGGCTTGGACACAGTCTAGCTAGTCCCTTTCGTCCTTCATGTAGAACAGTGTCTGATGTAGATCGCTAGGCAAGACTGATGAAGAAGGATATCTGGAGTAACAAATCGGCAACCCAAATCGGAGGCATCAGCACACGACGTTGGGCTCTGTATACATGGAGTACACCTAATAGTAAAGCATAGAGCCTAAGACAGTACAACTTTATAACACATGCGTAACTAAGTTTGACAGCAATGAACAAACCCAGGGATCCAGACCAGGGGTTTCCACTGGCAAACCACTCAGATACCTATTGGCTTTGTGACTGACGTCCCAGTAAGCGGCACACTTTACAGGTTAGTGTTTTCTTTTTGAAGTAACGCTACGTCACCAATTCAATGCCACGTATTTCGGTACTTTGCCTACATGAAATGAACGGAGAAGTTGGAATAGAGCAGTGTGAGGTTTGGTGCCTGGTGTGGAACTTACACAGCGAGTTCCCTTGCTGAAACATCCGTTGCAAACTCTGCATTGTGGTGAAAAGCTCTTACCTGTGTTTACGTAAGGCCACACAAGCATACCTGCAGCAACTAACTACCGAACGGGATCTTCATACTTGGTAAACCTAACATAGTTCATGAACACTAGGATTGTTATATATGATACATTGTATTATATATATATATATATATATATAAAGTACATGTACAATTGTGCAGCTGTAGCACCCTTTCGGTGCCTAGCTTCCATGCCACCGGAAGGAAGCACGAGGGCTGGAATACTGCCAGGTCGCCCAAGCCTAGACAGGGGAAGTCGAGTGGCAGAGGTCGGGCTCAAACCACGGACCTTCCGATCAGTAAATTCGCGCTCTAACCACTTGGTCCGTCTCGCCCCCATACATGTGCAACGGTACATATACATATATTGGTACTTTATTTTGTGGAAGAAAACGGTGTTTTTACTTGCGACCCAAACAGAAGCCTGTCGTGGTTTGGAACCCTCCAACCTATTACGTCATGTGTGTCTTCAAGTTTCCGTTACTCAGCCCTCAAAGAAAGTGACCTTTCGACTACTTCCACTAGTTTTACTTGATTACCAAAGTGTCGCTAGTGTAAATCTAATGTGAATTGTATCTTTGCAAGCACATGACACATCTCTTATGTGGTGTACTAGCGCAGAGTAGGACTATGTTAGCTTTCCTACTAGGTATAGTGCTAACTAGTGGAAATAATAATGTCCTTTGATAGGTCGCATGGCTCTTTCACTAACAGTCGCCATTCGGTACGACATGCCTTGGCTCCTGTTGGAATGATTCTGGTTTCAGTCTTCATTCTGTGGACTCGAAGTCCATTTTACTACATGAGTAGCAACAATGGTACCGTTTGAACTGTCTTCGAGTTACTGCATGCACCATGCGTGCACAGAAAAATATTGAGTTTAAATTCACGTCACTCTTTTAAACGACACTTTTCCGTTTTTGAAGCACTGGTGTTCCAATCTTGTCAGGATTCATTAGTCTCACGTAGGGCTGTTGTTCGAACGAGCCTGTTTTTGACCTCGATCAGCTGCTCCCAAAGTCACCATGAATTTTTTCTTTCCTCTTAATCGTTATCCCCGTCGCCATTATTGCGATTACGATAGCAATCGTCCTTGCTGTCAACGATAACCTCATTAGATTTGACACTTTCAGGTATTCACTCAGGCAATCTGAAAGAATAACTCATTGAGCTCCTTACAGGAAGGATGCTATATTTGAATAGATTTTCGCAGCGAAACAACTGTTTGTAATTTATTTTCACACTTTTACCTTTGCAGGTAGTCAAGTGCAACAGTTCTGTGCCCAAGGAACACGTATCGAGTGCAACAAGTATAAAACACGAACTGGTGATCAGGAGCCATGCACGAAGTTGCATTTTCGCAAAATTATACATCAACACACTGATGGTAAGTTGTCCTTCCGTTTGTGTAGTTTTTACTTGGATTTCAACATTTTCCGCCATTGAAATCTGTTCATCGGTATTTATGTTTCAAACTCCCTCTCAAGAGCTGTACCAGTTGACTCCTGGGAGAGGTTGCTTACTCCACTCAGAATCCACTTTATTGTATCTCCGTGACCTTTTTTTGGAGTGGCATTATTATTTTGGCCTTCATTCCTGTCCGCATACACCCAGGACGAAGGTTTTCAGACGCTCGCTCTCCAATATGACGAAAATGGAGGCCTTGAACAATAGGAGTGACGCTTGTCACCTATATACTATCGGATCATAACGCCTAAGTCGCGTCCAACTTTTTTATTGGACTCTACATGCATAACACTATCCACTCTTCACTATTGCCCTATTCTCATGCTCAACACTTTAAGTTCGGTTTTTCTTGGTTCGAACGTGCGTTAAATTGGTGGCGGAACTTGTTGCTCCAAGCAACTCAGCTGCAGCGGAAACTGCGTTTGGCAAGTGCATTCAATATGGTGTACAGAACGGATTATGGAATGCTTGGTAACTGAGAGGAACGCGAAATTCATTGTCGGATAGGTGAATCATGGTTCTCGAACCGGAAGTGTTTGAGGTACAAGGCAAAATGACGATACTAAGGAGTCACATGAAGTGGTATCTTGGTCTCAAAATTCATACTGTGTATAACCGATTCTACTGCAGCTCATCTCCGTGGACAGGGCTCACTCAGAACCACCATTCAGTGGTCCGAATTCGTCGCAAAATTTTTCCGCCGCTCATAGTAGAGTAGCAGAAGTAGAGAGTAATTCCAAACTGATATCGACATACACCGGGAAATCTCAGTGGGTGTGCAGTCGATGAGCACAACTCCAGCAGCATTCGAACGTTGTTTGAGCGACCGGACGAGCCAACCGGATTGCTCAATATCTGGGCACGTGAACCTGTTCAGACCACTGAATGAGTTAGCACTGGTGCTGATCCCCCCAAAATGCGCTCATTTTGAGTCTGGTAACTTCAGAGGTGACAGTTGTAACAGGACTTCCGGTGTCACGGATTCTTCGCCTCCTTATGTCGGCACACGATATCCTGATGCGCGTGGAGGATGCATAGGCCAAGTGTCGGAGTCTGGAAGTACTACTTGCAATCCTGGATTTTCTTGGTGCCAACGCTGTTCTCCATCCTGTCAGTCGTTCACTCTTCACTATGCTTGGTTCAACAGGAGGTACCTCCAGAAGTTCCGGAACATAATCTGTCCTTTATATTCTGGTGTGTATAGGGAGCTCCCCAACAGCTTTCCCGCACAGAGTGTCATTCGGCAGCGATTTCCCCTTCCCCACTCCAGTTCAACTGCTTTATCGAATACCTATTGTATTCGATAACGCGGGATGGCTCGGTGCTTAGAGCGCGAATTTACTGACCGAATATCCGTGGTTCGAACCCGACCTCTGCCTGTCGACTTCCTCTGTCTAGGATTGGGCAAATAGGCACTATCCTTACCCTCGTGCTTCGTCCGGGTGACATGGCAGCTAGGCACCGAAAGGGTGTTACACCTAAATGATTTATATTTTTATACCTATTGTAGCGTTCTCTGGATGACTTTCAGAGTCAGTTTATCCAGCTGTACTATGACATTAGATGAATTGAAGTGATCTAGGGAAGAAGCGAACGGTATCTTGAGTTAGGGTCGATCGATCGGGGGCGAGATAGCTCAGTGGCTAGAGCGCGAATTCACCGACCGGAAGGTCGGTGGTTCAAACCCAACCTCTGCCCCTAGACCTCCTCTGTCTAGGCTTGGCCAACTTGGCAGCATCCCAGCCCTCGTACTTCCTATGGATGGCATGGCAGTTAGGCACCGAAAGGGTGCTGCAGCTGAAAGATCAGGGCGTACGACGGGCTTACTGTAATGTGATTCGAGGCCCGTAATTCGAAAGTGCAAGATGCCTGACGTCACAAGATGGCAATGATGAAAGGCTACTGCGCATTTCAGGAGCGTTTCCGGAACACAGACGCATGCAACTAACATGTAGCTGGGGTACCCCATGTTATTGGGGGACGGCCTGTTGATGATGCATTGTACAGCTTTGTGGATAAAGATTGCGCCTGGCCGATTTGGAACTCGACTCGAAAAAGAGCACAACTCTATAAACTAAATAAAAGTTGAGTCTCTATCTTCAACCTTTCACCAAATATTAAGCTTTTGTATACTGTGTCAATGAAGTTAGGATATTATTTCAAGGTTGATCTTTTGTTCCAAGGTTACAAATTTAGAAGCAAAACATCATTCGCGGTGCTCAGCAGATGGAGTCGGTCATGCTTGATATCACTATAGAATCCTGGACTGTATAACAGATTCCACGCGGCCAGCTTTCTCTGACATTCGGCCTCACACAAACCCGTGGTTCTCACTGCCCCGTGTGCTGTTTGCCGTAGCCCTGTTGTTTGTGTCAATACTGACGTATCCGCTCCTAGCGTCGCAAGTACAAACGACCCTACCGATCTCCTTTTGAACTCCGGTTCTGCGTGAAGTCCAATAACAGCAAATATCAGCTCTGTGGAATTTGTCATACAGCTTTGGATTCTACGAAGTCGATCAGTAGCACCGATTCGGATGGTGGTCACTTATCGTTCGTACAGTTTTACAAACTGAGTTGGTCTGGAGTCATGCCAGTAACACATATCGTTCATTCTCTCAAGACCATCAATTATGAAAGTTGTAACCTTTCTGATGGATACGGAAAAGTGAGGGGATCTAAGTGAAACAGGGATGACCGTAGTTCCAAGGAAGGGCTGTTGCCAGTCGGAGGAGACATGCGTCGACTGTTGATTCCTTACAGAAATCAACATTTTCGAACAGCATGTTACCTCATCCTACTGTCAAGCAGCCTGATTTCCCCGTGTTTTTCGACACATTCCCGTTTCTGTTTCCCTGTTCTATCCGATGCGAATTTCGATTGGCGATTTGTAAACGACAAAAGGTTAGTTGGTTGCTTATGTCTTGCATTCATCGCTATTGGCTCTGCATATGTCTGCTCACCACTGTCTATGTTACCGTTGTAGCTGACTGCTCCTTGTACGGGGAATTTGTTTTTGGCAGGAATCGGGAGTGGACGGTCAGCACGAATTCTAGGCCAGTGCCGACCTGGTCGCGGGCCACGTGAACGATGCCTCTCCACTCAGTACGTATCCCAGGTCCTTCTTCTAAGGACGTATCTGATCACCGGTCACGCTTTGAGGCAGTGTGGGTCGGTTTGAAGTTTGACTAGTGTTCGCTTGATGCTCAGTTATCACAGCCTGTACTCGGATTGCAACACTGAATTAGCGCGTTACGAACATGAACTTGTACACCTGTAAAATTACTAGGCAGTAGTTAAATGAATTAAGTGATCAGGACCCGTGTAAAATCTCTTTAGGATGGGTTTTGTGGCATTATGTTCAATTCTTGGTGTCTGGGTTTTTGTCGATGCGATTTTGTGCTGATCCTTGGAGGGGGTGAGCTGTCAAGAATTTCTCCAAATCGTGACATTTATATTGAGAGGTTTGTGTGACAGGGGGCTAGATGGCTCAGTGGTTAGATCGCGAATTTACTGACTGGAAGGTGGTCCATGGTTCGAACCCTACCTCCGCCTCTCGACTTTCCCTGTCTAGGCCTTGGCAACCGGGCAGTATCCCAACCCTCGTGCTTTCGTTTGGTAGTATGGCGTTAGTCATCGAAAGGGTGCTACAGATGAACGATTTTTCTCTCAGCACCCATTTGAAAATAATTCTCGTGGATGAACTCTGTTCTTATCTTTCACTTTCAGAATCCCTCGGTGACTGTTCTTTCTTGAATACCTGTTTCCACGTGGATACGTGTAAAGTGAGTCTTGACGAAATATCCCCGCTACTTAATATAATGGACAATGTTGAAAGTTTAGGTTGCTCGCTTTTGGTTTGGATTGTTCCCTGAGGTGATCAGCTTTCTTTCTGACCCACCAATCTGGGCTGTTTTATAAATTCCGATAGACTGGCTGAAGATGAGATCCTCTCCGGAATCGGGATGGCTGGGACAGCTTTCGCCGTCCTTCGACTTTTATAGTTGGCGTGACGTCAGTTTGTCAAGAGAAACAGCTCGGTCGGTAGCGACCCATGAATCGCAGACGCGGCTTCCACTCGCAGAGGATGCACGATAATTCTCGATGTTGACAATTACCGTCTCTGAAGCACTGTCTGGGAGCTTGTGAGACATTAGATCAGAAATACTGGGATACATCAGAGGGTTTCGGAAAGAATGAACTCACTTACGATGGGTAAGCTACTCAGGCTGCATAGGTGACACTGTTTAGGATATGCAATTTGTATATAGGAGGACAGTCTTCCTTGCAGAGCACTTTCCTTCTATTCAGTGCTGACTGAAAGTGAATGCGAGGCGAACAGTTTGGAAGCACCAATCAGTAAACTCAGAGACGTGGCCCTTACGCGCAAGGAACATACGGAAGATGTCAGTGTTTGACCATCGGTGTCTTCGAAGCATTGGTCAGGTCTAGTGGAAATGTTTGATTTGTAATGGTCTTTGGAAGAGTGAACTCTCCCGCGATAGATGAATTACTCACGCTTCATAGGTTACGCTGGTTAGGCCATGTACTCCGCATGCTAGAAGCCCGCTTGCCTCGCAGAGCTATTTTCACGCAGCCCTGTGCTGAGTGGCAGTGACCGAGACGTGGACAGTGTATGACCTGGCAGATAAGTACGAAGATACTAACCCGTAAATTTAGTCGGGTGGGCAACTGCCGCCGCCTCCCTGGATGGTTACCCCGGGACTCAAATCACCGTTGGTTGATGACTGGCATAAATGCCCCCCCAATCGTGCAGTCAGTGGCGCTCGTGCATCGAAGCTATCGCCTTCACTGCGTAGCTACCCAATTTCCGAACAAACTGAATATGCCTTCGCCTCCAAGGCTTGGTTGTATGTCCCACACTCCTGTTTTTTGGTTGTCGAAACTGTAACAGCCGCCTATGGTGCATGGCTTATACCTGACAAATTGAATTGAACTCAATCGGATTGAAAGTCGTCGCCTCCGTTGTTAGTGACGCTGGGGGGGCTTCATTCAATCATGCATTCAGTGGCGCTCCCGTATCAAAGTATCGTCTTCAATGCGTAGCTGCCCAGTGTCCCATGTCTTCAAATAACTAGGCCGATCCAGTGTGTAGTGACTGATTATTCTATTGCCTCTAATACTCATCTATGTCCGCTGAAACTGTAACAAGTGAAGCCGATGCATCATTGGTAGTGGTTTATGGGTGATAAATTGAACCGAACAGACGGATTTTTGTCCATGTTTGAACAAACTGGATGATCATATTAGCGAACGACCATCTTCTGGCATGAGCATTCTGCGCGGGAATTCAGTTGAGGAATCGTTTTTTGTCATCTTCATTTTAATCCCCGAAAAAAAGGGGCACTGTGTTTGAACAGGGATGGTTTGAGACTCCGTCTTTCCGGTTGTCGTTTCAGAGTGCTTTAAGTTACGTTCGTTAGGATACGTCTGCACATGTTTTTTTTTCAGCGCAAAAGGCTTTCTCCACTACCTTTTTTCCAATGGGTCCTTGGCTATATTAAGTTTTGGCTGAAATTTTATGATATATCATAGTGCATCCTCTCTGTTATCCGGTTCCCTTTATCAATCTAACCATTTGATTGTGCGTCTTATAAATCGGTGATCGCCACAAAAGTTTAAGATTGGGAACTCAAAGGTCGTTTCCTAGTGAGCCGCTCAGCCATTTGGTAGACAGAACGGTCACCGATTTCATCCTGGACGACCCTACCAATCGACCCTAACTAGGTAAACAGGACTGAGTAGATCTCATTTAGCATGGTCTCGACTTCCCGGCTAGCCATCGGTCATTAAAACTGTGTAACGTGATGGATACAGAAGTGAACATTTATCCAGGTTTTTGCTGCATTGTTAGTTTACAACCATAAGGTTGTCTTCCAGTCTCTTAGTGGAAACACTCGGGGATTTGACGTAAGTTATGACCAGTACTAACCGATTGTCTCTGCACTGGGGTAGTAAAAGTGTTTTTTAAGCGTCTTTTGCGGGACCAGGGTGGAAATTTCATTTAGTTTGAATGGAGCGGATGATCAACCAACAATTTTGGGTCAATAGCACAGGACATCTGCGTCGTGGTCTCCCCTCCTGGGACGTAAGTGAACCATCAGAACAGTCAGAAAGTGCTCTCTATCTTCTGGGGGAAAGTTGTTTCCTCGAGGAGAGAAGTCTCAACATAAAGAAAATCATGCCTTAAAAATATCTCTTTGATGTGGATGGTCCTTCCTGGAGAAGTATTGTACGGTGAGGAGATTAGTGCTCACAGAGATTACTTGCACCATGTGATTTTGGATAATGCGAAGTGTATACATCACTACTCTTCTGGTCGATCATCTTAATCTGCCATGGTTAAGGCTTATGAATGTCTCCTCGCCACCAGCTCATCCTCTGCATTTACCGAGGAATTCGTTTGTTCATTTGTTTACACTTGATTAGGCAATCTTGGGCTTCCAACGTCAATAGTTCATGAACTTTCAAGGCACATTTAGATCGACAAACAATTCTACAGCTCAGTGTACTGTCCTCAAAAACAACCTTGACACAGACGAGGATATAAGTTTTGGGCGGATTCCTCCTTGGTAAAAACTAGCGGATACCCCTCGTCCACGGAACTAACTGCATCGTTTCGCCGATACTCTGGCAAAATCCCAGTGGGTTTGTTCATTGTGTCCCAAAAATTTCTCGAACATAAGACGTACTCATGAGTAGTTGAAAATCGTAGCTGAAGATGGTCCTATGCCTCTAAGGCGGACAATGTGCTAAGTGTGTGGCTCTCTCATTGGGAGTGTATTTTACGCGCATGCCAGGATGACATCAAGTTTCTCCTACTTGCAGCTCAATCAGGTGGTTTAAAATGAAAACATTCGGATCACTGTCAGCTTCTGTGGTGCGGTGGCTTATCAACCCGCTTCGCTCGACTAATCACCGCTTTAGTGGAATCGTTTGTCCAACCGCTAACGCGCCCGTCGCTCTGAGTAATGAGCTGGCCACATAGTTCGGCATTTTTAGCGTTCCTTTAACCATACTGCTATGGTAAAGGTCGGTTGCTACGCCGAAGGTGCACAAGAACGTTGTATGGGACTCATTTGATGTTGCCAAAATGGGCAACTTGGAAACTTCAAACAGCACCACCCGGGGACGAATGGGTTCGATTATGCTGTGGTAACCAAACCACTGGGCCGATGTGGTTCACACTTGAGAAGCAAAATCTGAGTATCACGGGGAAAACCATGGTCGACCCAATCGCCACCTCATCTTCAAGAGTAGATATTAATATATGATAAATAATGACACTTTTGGTGCCTAGCTGCCATGCCACCCGAAGAAAACATGACAATGAGATACTGCCAGGTTCCCGGAGCCTATACATGAACAGTCGATATACCGAAGTTCGATTCGAACGACGGACCTTCCGGTCAATATATTTGCGCCACACCCCTTCGAGCTATCTCGATTTAAAGAGGTATTACAATGTTACATTTAAACACATTTTAAAGCGCTTATCCGAGGCCCCTGGGTCTAGTAATTTGTGAATCATAAATTGGTTGAAATGTCGTTCAGAATGCAGTCAACATCAACCTGGACCCTCTCCAGTTTCCCTGTTTGATCGCGGAAAGTTCAGATTTATGGTCTCATTGCACTTGCTCCTAATTTTTCATTTTACAGTACGTTCACTACACCATTGACTATTCAGAACCTCCGTCAGCCATCACCGGTGATCCACATGGTTCCACTGCAGCCTGCGGTGTCGTGACTGCCGCCAGCGGCCAACTCAGAGGCCAGACGGCTTCGACCACGACAATGCTTGATGATGACAACTCCGCCATGTCCAAAAATCAACCACCCACATTACTATATCCCCCTCAGGTACACCTTTTACGATAGGCGTATTTTCGAGGTGATGTTTACACAGTAATAATAATATGATACTGTTTCGGCCGTAGCACCATTTGGGTGCCTAGCTGCCGTACCACCCAAAGGCCTAGATATTGCCAGGTTCCCCAAGCTTTGGAAGGAGCAGTGGAGATGAGGAGGTTGGGTTTGAGCCACCGACCTTCCGCTCAGTAAGTTCGCGCCTCAATCACCGAGACATCTTGCGCTGTTGCTCACACAGTGCTAAGCTGTTTGTTATATGTTTGGAGAGTAGAGGGGTGATTAATCAATAAAGATGCACGCCGTGAGTCTGCGTTCACATATAATACAACATGCGGCCCGCTGTTCCTGTGATTCCGAGTATTTCCAAATGAGTTTTACCAACTCAACAGCCCCTTCAACAAGTTACATCCGTGAGTTAGCTAAATTATTCCTTAGAGATATGTTATTCAAACAGTGAACTGTTGAAAAACTGGGTGAAGAATTTACTTGTTAGCGGGAGCTTTTATAACGTCCGGTCTATAGAGGACTGGCCTTTCTCAATATTCCAAACTTGGTAATTTGGGAGTGCAAAATACATAAGGTAGCCCCCAAAGAAAGGCCAATACAGATAAGAGTCCACGGCGATCGTTCGCCACCAGGTTTCTACAAGGTTTTCCGACTCGACTGAGACCACCCTCCACGTCCACAGGGGCTCAACGATTCAGTTCTCAGAAGACTGATTTCACCCCCTCCCCACCCCATGGGAAGCCGTGAATCCGTTGACCTTTGATAAAGTACAGCTACCAAAAAACGACAGGAAAAAGTTTTCATGGACCAGCTTTGGATTTTACACAGCGTAAGTTTAAGTCGCAAGTCATTGCAGAAAGAATTAAAATTAAAATTCAGGATCTCACCGTTCGTACTCGGTAAGTGTCGAAAAAAATCGTTCAGCTGTAACACCCTTTCGGTGCCTAGCTACCATGCCACCCGAAGGAAGCACGAGGGCTGGGATACTGCCAGTCAGGTTGCCAAGCCTAGACAGGGGAAGTCGAGAGGCAGAGGTCGGGTTCGAACCACGGAACCTTCGGTCAGTAAATTCGCTCTCCAACCACTGGAGCCTACGTGTGGACTACCTATAGGGTCCCTAAGCTTGAACTCGTCCTTCCCAATATGACCATCTTCGCTACGGACTTGAGTGTCGTTCAGCTGTTGCACTCTTTCGTTGCCTAGCTGCCATGCCACACGCACGAGGGCTGGGATACTGCCAGGTCGCCCAAGCCTAGACAGGGGAAGTCGAGTAGCAGAGGTCGGGTTCGAACCACGGACCTTCCGGTCAGTAAATTCGCGCCCTAACCACTTGGTACATCTCTTGAATAACTTTGTTGTAGAATATTTAAGCAATGAATGAGTTATGGTGTGCCAATGAGAACGGAACCGTCGTCAACAGCAATACACAGCAGTAGAGATTAAGGACTACCATGAATAGAGAAGGTTCCATTTAAGAGGGTGAATAGAGGACAAGTGTGGAGGCTTGGTTAAAAAAGTGTTATGTTCTGAAGGGAAACAATCAAGAACAAGTTCCTAATACCTTTGAATAGCATTGTAACCAACGCATCTTACCAGTGTGTCGATGTAAAATGTCATTGATGGGACCGACCTGGCATGCCTCGACAACATTAGCCAACGCAAACTCAGTGCACAACGAGAGGGAAATATCAGACCGGCTAGACGTTCGCCACTGAGATCGGTCACACGCCAAATGGATTCACATGGGTCTCAGCCAGGAAGCCTCAAACATCCCGTTGATTATAATTGACTCTGTTTGGTCGTAATTGCTTTCACTTCACGTTGGCACGATACAGCTTTTCTCTTGCGAAATTTCCTCCGGCGCGGGTTTCAAATAGATACTAACACTTTTATTGATTGGTATGCATATTATATATTCCAACCACCATAACCTCGTAGGTCCAGTTTATCACTCTGCAGATTCTCCTTCGTCACCAAGTACCGCCCTACGCGGCGAACACACTGCAGTCAGCTGATCCCGCTGTGCTGCGAGGGCAGCGGTCATAAGACGTTAACGGAAAAAACATGCCAGTGTAGATTATGGATGTATTCCTTTTCTACCAGAGGAAGGATAATTAGAGCAGCAAATTCGTAATATCTAGAGTGTCACTTTGGGGTGGTATCTATTTTTATAGTGAGTTTCAAGTGATCTTGTAAGGTATTGCTGGTTTCTCTCTCACTAGTCGATATCTACTTTAGATCGCACCATCGCTTGCGTTTGAGGATTTAAAAAAAACCGGAACCAAAACAAGTGAAATGCTGCAGTTGACATTAATTGACCTTATTCAGATTACAGAGAAATTCCAGCCGTTTGCTTTGAGGGAAACGTGGATAAAGCCAAATTTAGCGAAATACACTCATTCGCATACCAATTTGGTTTTTGCGGAAGACCCAAGTGAATCTATCGTGTATAATGTCCTTCAATTCAATATACACCACCAGGCCGCTTTATGTTTCAGTTGGTACGTTACGGCAGCATCGCAATACACTAGTCACAGGTTTGCTGAGAAATCCTCAACAGCTCACGGCCGATTTTACTGTTTTTGGGCGTCATCATCTATGACAGACCGCTGAAATTTAGGTCGTTTCTGGGAGCCCTCAGTTTATCATGCAATTTTTCTAGGAATTGTTATGTTGTGTCCACCCACCCTTCACCTTATCCACTATCCCAGGCAAACGTCGCCTCCAGCTCACTCTTGTTGTTTGTGCACTATCCCCCCCGTTCTCATGTTTCAAAGTGGATCAATTGTGATATTCGGCAGCTGAACATGTCCATCCTGGGCAAATTTGCTGTGATCATGGCCGATCCGCCATGGGACATCCATATGGAACTGCCGTACGGAACAATGTCCGACGATGAAATGAGACGCTTAGATATCCCCTGCTTACAAGACGATGGATATATTTTTCTCTGGGTCACTGGAAGGTGAGTAGCATGTGACAGTCATGTTCTTTTTGGCAGTTTTCTCGAAACCAAAGATTGCTCCCGTTGAGTTTCTCAGTTTTGTACAACGAAACCTTCAACTCGATATGAGAACCGTTTTCGCTTCCGAGTAACCCGTGTGCTCCAGTATCGACTTGCGTCACCCCGGTTACTGAAGCACCAGGCGTAGATGAGACAATTCCTATCAAGATATGCTCACAACCAAGGCTGCCTGGCATATTTTCCTTTTCTGGAAAAACGCATCACCAGTTCCTCAAAAACACGACCTTAATTCTTGTAACCCTGCTATCTCACGCTCAGTGTTTATTCGCACTTTGTTTATTGTGTTATTAGGCCTTGTCACCTGTTGATTGTCTTTAACCTGGTTAAGGGGACAGCAGTGGATGGATTATCGCATGACGGGCAGTTTCTGTGACATTTTCATTCAAGAGACGGCGTCTGTGCGTGTATGGCATTGGCTTGGGCAAGAAGGTGTACTCACGTCCTTCCCAAACTTCATCGTAGCAATCAGTCCGGTTATCACCATGGCTGATGGTGGAGTTAAAATGGGCTACCAGGCCAACAGATCACACGAGACAAAAGTGCAGGCCGTATCATCACCATCATCATCATCGACAGCATGACATCAGCGTTCAACACCGGTGCTTCACTGCCGTACAGCGCAGACAAATTGCTTGCTTCTGTGCGGACCAGTCCCAAACAACGACCATTGTATGTCCGAGTTTTGCAGAGCTTAGGAAGCAAACCATCTGTAGTGACGTGGGACGCCCTATCAGTCACGCCTGAATTCGGCCTGTTAGACTACGCTATAAGCCGAAGACCGAAAACCAAGGCAACCGCCGTACTGTCGGTCAAACATACAGACTAGTGCTGGATGGCTAATTGCGTCACTCGCTCTTGTCCAGCCAATGGCGACGTTCCTGCCGTGACCATTTTGACACCCGCTTGGCTGGTCGCATGTTAAGCCGTGTTCGGTACGCTCTGCGCACACACCTGCTATCCAGAACGAGTGGTGACCTCAGGGACGCGTCGTTCTCCGCCCATGTACTTTTCGTGTCTGGACGCATCCTGACACCAACGTTGTCCTCCCTAATTAGTACAACTCAACCTAATGAACTGAGGTTTCACTGGAGCGAACGCATTAGTGTTCCAAATCACGAAGTCCTTCAGATCCTCATCGTCGGTCATGTTAAATGGGCTTCATCGGAGTGATCAATCACTTCTGATACCTTAACTTCGGTCACATCTCTTTAGGGCCATGGAACTGGGTCGAGATTGTCTTCGTCTCTGGGGCTATCAACGTGTAGACGAAATTATTTGGGTCAAAACCAACCAACTACAGCGCTTGATCCGCACTGGTCGAACAGGACACTGGTTGAATCACGGCAAAGAGCATTGCCTGGTCGGTGTCAAGGGCAAGCCGCAGGTGAGACCCCTGTTTGACCAAATTGTATCGTCTTTTCTCCACTAGATATTTACTGTTTCGCCTTCCACTCGATGTCTAATCATAATCTCACTTGATCACCGGTGGTGTTGCCTGCTTAAGTAACGTCAACTCACAGCTACTGTGCGACGTACTTTCGTCGTCATCGCACAGAAATGTGCAAGTCACAAGTTGTCCGTTTCACCACTTTCCGCGCATACTAGGTTGTCCAAGCACGTGAGGAGCAAATGAAGTGTTTGAGGGCTCGAGAACCGCTTACTTCGCCATTTGTATCTCGTAGTTGAGGTTTACACTGTTCTGCGCACGTGATGAGAGTGACTGACTATCGAACTCGTAGGTCGATCTGGTCACGACGTGTCGTCAGCTCGGGAAACGTAGCAACATGTTAACGCTCAGTTTTCCTGTGGATTGATTTCACGACTGAGTGATTTGGTATTTTCAAGATATTTAACCCGATTCCCAAAGCAAAGACACTCAAGTTGTTCCTAGTCGCGATTGTACCTCGACTGGATTTTCCTTAGCATAAGCACATTCCACTTTTACAGAGGTGACAGTTGCATCCTCCTCTTACCAACCCATCTTTTGCTTCTCTGGAGAGCTCCTTAAGAACGTAATTCTGCCGGATCAATCGATATTGATAACTCACAGAGGGTCCGTGTTCTTGCGCCGGCCGTTTTGCCGTTGCTATCTACGTCAATGTTAGAGCGATTTTCGTGAAGGAGAATGCCGGCATGCTGTTCAGACTCCAGTCATCATACATCCGGCACAGACCCTGGCTCACTAGGCTAAGGCACACATCCTCACGCGTACACATGCGGAACCGCGATGCCTAGTTGAAAAACTTGCTGCAGTTCGCCCCGTGCCTTTACATGAAGAAGTTTGCTATGTTCCAATCTTGGCCAGGCGGGTTGCCCAGCACCCCACGCACAATTACTGTACATAGTTCTTCTACTTCAGTCTCGCTACCTATGGATTTGACTGTTGATGGTGAGCTGAGATTCTGTAGTGCAAATGGATAGTATGGATTTCGGCAAATCTGATAGACAAACATGGAGAGATTTCGGTTTGTTGCTTGAGACCGATTGTCTTCCCGTACAGCACTGACTATATGCCACACAATGCACGATACTGGTACAACTTTCACATGTTTCACTTAACGCGTGTATCAGCCGGACTGACGATGTCGGATACGGTTTCCCAGATGGACGCGCCCTGACCCTGTTTGAGATGTACTTGTTGAATGAAAGGAAGAAAGGTTTAGAATTGGTGCTTGTAACAACAACCGAAGAGGAAGAAAATCTTGGCGGATAGGTGAGATTAGTAGGTCTGTTTTGATCGGACGCTTGGAAGTTGCCAACATTGAACTCGGGAATTTCGTTTCAGAAGGATGAAGCATACAAGAATCTATTGGGAGCTGTCGAATTTGGAGCTACAGAACTAGCTGGATTAGTGGGGTCGGGTCGACTTGCCTACCTGCCGGCGGATATATTAGGTTTATGAGACTTGTCTTAGCTCTCTGAGGATATCTGGAGGCAAAAGTTGCTACGGCACTAGCGGCTTTCCCTAAATCATGATACGGTTAGTCAGACATCTGATTAATTACAGAACGAAGCATACAACTATTGGGAGCTGTCGAATTTGGAGCTACAGAACTAGCTGGATTTGTGGCCATGTTTAGTGGGGTCGGGTCGACTTGCCTACCTGCCGGCGGATATATTAGGTTTATGAGACTTGTCTTAGCTCTCTGAGGATATCTGGAGGCAAAAGTTGCTACGGCACTAGCGGCTTTCCCTAAATCATGATACGGTTAGTCAGACATCTGCGCCTCAGTTCTCAGGCGTACAAGTTGTCGGTATAATCGCACTCCACCTGGCACCAACCAGCCTTCACATTTTCTGCTGTTTTAGCCTATGCTTGTGCCATACATCGTTACCCCTGAAAATCATTGTACAAAGCAAATCAAACCATGATTAATTACAGAACGCCGTGCGGCCAGGCATACTATGAATACAGCCGTCGTTTTACTTGGAGTGGAGGAAGTTGAGTCGGGTACGAAACGTCCCTCGCTAATATACCGGACTACGATGAGCCTAAGAGTGACTCTGTCATCACCACTGTACAAACCTAATTGATCATTGACTTATGATAAATGTCCGTGTTTGCCTCTAGTGCGTCTGATGATTAGTGCCGATCACCATGCCTCTCCTCATACGATGGCCCTCACGCACTTGAGGGTCATCAGCTGGGCATTAAGGCTGTGTCAAATCGACCCTGATTTTTTTTTAAAAATTTGGTCCAATTTGTCCGAAATAATACCCGAGATAAGTCGTTCAGCTCATGCGGCTCAGTGTTAACTATGAGTCGCTTTCCTGACACAGATCCATCCGCTCTGTTTGGTAAATCCGAAAACAGGTACCAGCCCACCCCCTGCGACAGTGGGAAGTTACTATTCACTAGTTTTCCACTTCATGCATGTTCGTGATAAGAAGAAAAAGTTTCGGTGTGCTTGAAAGACTGGCATACTTAATTAGGTACGAGGATCTGAGTGTAAAAACTCGAGGCGACAAACCCACCTACCTTTTGCTGGTCTTTATTTGGCCTGACTGGATAACAACGAACGCGTATATTAACATTACTGGTCTCATTAGACACGGTGTTCGTTTTTTTATTAAAAAAAGTAAATAGATGAACTCACTGGTTACTGATGCTTTGCTCTTGTACACTGCGCACATAATAAAGTCGTGTCGCTTGGTCTTCCATTACCGAAGGGTGTCAACCGTGGTCTGGACTGCGACGTCATTGTGTCAGAGGTGCGCGAAACAAGTCACAAACCAGATGAGATCTACGGTATAATCGAGCGTCTATCTCCAGGCACGAGAAAACTGGAACTCTTTGGTAGACCACATAATCTACAGCCAAACTGGTATGTCTGAGCCGTCATATGATTTCATGCCTTGTTAGGGCATCAATGTGAGGCACAAAATCTAATTAATAGTGATTTACCGTTAGCTTGTCCTTTTTTCTGTGACGAAATCGGTGCGACATACGCTTCATTACTGGTTCCTAACTGCCATGTATGTATTCAGAGGAGAGAATGTCTCCGCATGGGGGGGGGGGGGCGAGATGGCTCAAGTGGTTAGAGATATTGGCCGTGAACCCGACCTCTGCCTCTCGACGTCTCCTGTCTAGGATTGGGAAACGTTCCCAGCCTACTCAGCTTCCTTCGGGTGGCATGGCAGCCAGGCACCAGAAGGGTGTTAAAGCCGAACGATTGTTATGCTGTCGAACACCCTTAAAATAAACACACCCGGGTATCGTATCGCAGTAAGATGGCGGCGGAATTCTCAGTCCATCACCCGTACAGAATGTGTCAAACACAAGTCCTTCAACTAGCAATCTGTCTTCGTGCTTTTGTGTCATGTCCGGTAAAGTTTTCACTCGTGTGCCAGAGAAATCACACACATTCCAATGATGGAAACGCTGCTCTCAGATTGACAACACTCGGCTCCATTTCGCTTTCCAAGCGTGAATCATTCGCCAACCAAGATTAGGAGTGGGTGGGGACAACACCTATTTTGGAATAGGGCGGATGAATAATTGTAGCCATATTTATCCAGTACACTTCATTTGCTGCTACGCAGTACTTGGTAAGCGATAATAACGATGACAGACCTCGGTCACCCGATTTATTCTCTCCGCTGGCATAGATGCCTCAAAGGAAACAGTGTTCACGATTACCATCACTGTGTTTAGTCCACATTCTGGAGACGTTATGGGGAGATAGCTACCATTGCACGCGTGTACGAAGGTGTTGAGCTCAGCTGATAGCCCATCCCGGGTCACAATACCCAAGACTGACACTGGGGCAGCAGGACCGTTCCATTTTATTCATCCTTCCCACTAGTCAAAGGTTGAAAGACCTAGTTCATGTGGTGACAGTGTTCCCCAGTTTAACCTGAATGGTCCCGTTTATTGGCATGCAGTCTGTACCTTCAAAGTGAAAAGTCTTATTTTGGTAATCTCTGTGCCTACGTACTCCTTCAGAACTAAAGAACGAGGAGCCGGAGTTATTCGATAGATTTAATTAGCCTGTTAGGTGACATCAGCACTCACACTCAAGAAACACTCGGCAACTTGCGTCAACTTTGGCATCAGAATCGAATTTTACTGAGATTAAAGAGACTAACCCTGCTCTCTCTCTATGGCTATGGATCGTGCTGTCTCGGAACTGACGACGTCAAAGGTATTCAAATATTTCGTCGGTCGTTTCCGCAGATTAGCAGACGGTAACTGACTGCACCATGAAATGGTGAGTGAGTACTAGTTGATGACTTGGATTCGCTGGAGCGGTCGGTAGAGTTTACCAGATTACTGTGCCTGGGGCATGCACCACGCATGCCCGAGCGCACCCCATCAAAGAAAGTTGCGTTTCCCACTCCTTGCTGGCGGAAGGTCCTTGAAAAAACGGATCATGACATGGCAACGCGAAATGAAATCGGAGGCTGTCACGTTAATCATTACGGTGTCTTCCCGCCTTCTTGAGTGAGATTCACGTGAGCCCCCTCGCGTGTGGCCTTGCTAGATAAGGCTGTTTGTTCTCTTTTCCCCTATCTCTTCAACCTCACCATCTTGGAAGAGTCACTCAGACTGGACAACCCTGATTCACATATGCAATTGAACTTCGAAACTGTACCGAATAGCGTGTGAAAGAGGCAAGCAAACAGTGTTTTAGTCACTCCTGCCAGAGACTGACCTTGCTAGTTTTTATGCCCTTACGACACAGTTTCGCCGGATACTACTACTACCCGCTGTCTGATGACACTTTACTCTCCTCCAGTCCTGGTTTTATTGGTACTGGCAGACACCACCATCTGTAACTGCTCGATTACAAGATTGTCTTTGTGTACTGCTCGTTGTCATGGTTTGTACTAATGACATCTCGTTAAAACATGCATATCGGTATACTTACTCCCTTCATCTCAATGACCTCTGTCTCACAGGATCACGCTGGGTAACCAGTTGGATGGGACCTTTCTCGTGGATCCGGGAGTCGTGGAGCGGTTCAAGAAGCACTATCCCAACGGTCTCGAGTCCAGGACAAAATCATAGTCGACCTGTAGCAGTAATTATCCGAACCAAGTCAAAGATGTGTGTACATAAGTTACTGTATAAATAAAGTACTCATAAATATGCAAGACGGCTGTTTTCTCACACATTGGGTGGAGATTGTGTGGAATAGCTTTACAGCTGGTCGCAATCAGGTTTGAGCCCCAAGTCCCATTGGATCCAGGGTGTCTGAAGAAGGGATTTGGTGGTAGATCTGTTCTTTGCGTTGTACTGTGTGCATGTGTTGTAAACTTGTGGCATGGCTTTGCTTGGAGGTGGGCTAGTGAGACTGGTCTGTAATTTAAACACAGGCGGGCGAAAAAAGGGAAACGGATTCAGACACGGGAAACACTGAGCCGAAAGAATGTAGTGAAAATCCCCGCGACTTTTCCTCAGCTGAGGGAAACAGGCAAGAATTGTTGAAAATTTATTTAAAAAAAGAACTAAGCATTAAATTTGGAATCATGGACAACGTAGCTGGCGGTTTTGGGGGAAGTATTCCACTGGTGGTAGTAACCCATTTTATCAGACCCGTGACGGAATAGTTTCGTATAGCAGTGGGTCTTATAGAGCTGTGCTACTAATGATCTCGATTAAGGTATACTAAAGCTGAACCGCGTTAGATAGTAAGTTGAATTAAAACAAGTTCTAGGC